TTCTCTATTCTTTCTCTTTCTCTCCTTTCCCCTTTCCATCTATCCTGTCTTCCTATTCCAAGTCTGTCCTGTTGTATCTGTCTTCATTCCTCTCTTCCTTAATAACTGCTTGAGATTTGTTGTTACCACTGGCTGTGAACATTGAGTGCCAGACTTATGATTAATTATAAATTCCATTTACATTTATCATTTTAAAATGGAGTCTTTATGGGTACAGACATAATTCTACAAGTACATCAATGATCTTTACTAGGGAAAATTGAAGGATCCCTATCTTGGGTAACTATCACTTGAACATTGATGAAATTTTTTTATCCTGTACTTGATACAAAAAATTCAGAAAAAGATCATTTTTGTTAGTTTATAACTTATTTTTCTTTTTTTTCTTTTCCTTTTTTTAGTTTAGCACATCTTCTTGTGAGAACTGCTGATTGCTTTTGCAATAAAACATCTTTCAGGTTTTTGTAACTTGTAGGTTGAAACTTGAATGGTTATAGTATAATTATTTCTATCCATTACTGCAGGAATTTTGTTTCTTCTTGTTAGGTAAATGTATTTCTTTTTGGTGTGTCCATGAAGCTTATTTGAGGTCTATGTCTTCTATCAGGCTTGAAGCTTCTCCATGGTTGGGAATTCTGTCTTATTCTTATGTCCCTCTCAGCGCCTAGCACTGTCAAAGCCTTGCTTGAAAATAGGCATTCAGTAACTATTTGAATGTATGAACTATAACTTGCATTTAAGACCACAGAAACAAACTCTTTGGTTTCTGCAGACCTTCAATTGACCATCGTTTGTGCTTATTGACTGTGATGAACACTTTATTCTTCCAGTGATAATTAAAGGGGAGCTATGAGTGTCTTCATCAATACCTAAAGGCTTCTGCTGAACAGCTAGTTTAGTCATAGTGTATTGATCTTAGTTTTTTCTTTCATTGTAGTAGTTAGATGAATCAATATCATCCTTGTATTTTCAAACATACCATCATTAAAACATGATGATGAAGGCACATAGAGATAACCTATTCCATTAGTATTAAAAATGCATTTGCTTTTCTTTTTCTTCCATCAGAAAGGCTTAGAAAAGCTAAGGAATGAAAGAAAGGAATGAAAGAAAGTAATACATCTTAATGTTACATGTACTTCATAATCATGGGAAACATAGCCAGCATGTTTAATTTTTTAAAGCATAGCTGTTTGAAGTTCATTATCATGGCTTGATTCCTAATAAATGTTTGCAGTTCAAAACAAAATAAAACATGGCTCCACTTTTATGTTGCTCTCATGTTTTCAGCTAATTTTGAGTACAATATTAAAACACCATTAGAAAATGATTCTATGAGGAGGCTACAGAGATCCATGAGGTGTGATCCGTGACTTCAAGAAGCTTAGAATTAGGGGCAGTGAAGTGGCCCTGGAGTCAGGAGGACCTGAGTTCAAATCCAGTCTCAGACACATAACACTTATTAGCTGTGTGACTCTGGGCAAGTCATTTAACCCAAATTGCCTCACCAAAAAAAAAAACAAAACCAAAAACAGATGCTAAGAATGAGGCTGTTATGAAAGAAATGTATTCCATGGGGAGGAATCAACATGAGCAAAACAATGGAGGTATGTTTGACATTCAAGGCCTGCCACAATGTAGTACTGCCTTATCTTTTCTGTCTAATTTTCATTTTATCCCCTTCCATGCACTCTTTGATTCAGCCAAAGTGAACTACTTGCTGCCTCCCTTGCCCTTGACCATCCCTAGTGGTTTACCACCTTCCATGCCTCTGCTCCTGTTCCTTATGCCTGGAATATTCTCCTTTACCTTCATTGCTTAATTCCTCCCCAGATCAGGTGCCACCAAGAGAAAGTCCTAACTCACTTGTCTAATATTGCATTTCCTTTTAGACCTCAATTAGTCTTGTTCTGTACCTCTCTAATACGCATATGCTGAAATCTGTGTGAAATGGTGATCTCTCTTATCTTCCTACTATACTGTAAACACCTTGAGAGATTTCATTTTCTCTAAACTTTGTATCTTCCACCATGTTAAGCACAGTGCTCTGTACACCATTTAATTCAAATGTATTAACCATGGTCCTAAATAATTGAATTACTCTGGCAGCCACGTGGGATAATTGGAGAAAGAACAAGATCAGGGAGACAAAGTAGCTTTTCAGGACACCTGGGTGTACCTTTAGAGTTACAGGCCCCAAGAGTGAATAGTCAGAATTAGCTGCCCCATATAGAGTTTGGTCATGTAAATAGGAGATGAAGCTGAGAATTATAAGGATTCATCATCTGTGTCAGAGACTTAGAATGGCCTGATAGGTGGAAGTAAATATGTGGTCTAGAAGGCAGGTGATAAAGCTAGATAATTGGAGCAAAGGGGTAGGTGAGAACTTGGTCTGGTTAAGTAGGTAAAGGAACTCAAGCAAGAATAAATCTCTGTAGCTGCTGTACCAGTGAGTTTATATTTGAGATGAGAATTGTAGGTAGTGTGGGAAGGCTATGGACAGAAGGAGGATATCAGAAAGGATAGGTGATGCAGGCTATATGGGGGGCAGTGGCTAGGATTGCTCCCAAAGAGCTGAGGTTTGCCTACTTAAACTTGCTTCTAGCCCTTTCTAATAGAGAGGCTGGGGTCTTCTGGGGCAGCTCTTTCCCAGGCCAAGATATGCCCATATTTAAAGGGAGTGAGAGATGATAAAGGTTTGTTAGAGGTTTTGTTTCCTTTAGCCCTCAAGCTCTTTAAGTTTGACTAAGGAAGAAGTATTTTGTCATTGGGGTAGGGGGTGACTCCTGAGATCCGGATAAACAATCCCCTAAAATCACAAGGTCATTGCTCTTTAATCCCACAGAGCCAGGGTTTCTGCAGTAGGGTCTGGGACCTAATGCCCATGATGTGTACAATGGATGGGAAAAAGGAAGAAATTGGAGACCAGGAAGCTAGTTTTTTACCATGGTGTGTGTGAGAGATTGTAATGGGGGCCTGAACTAGGGTAGTATCCATGGATTTGGAAAGGAAGAGATGAATTCTACAGATTTTGCTGAAATCACATTGACAGAACTCTGGAATTGAGTGGATATTGGGTGATTGAGGGAGAAATTGAGGATACTCAGGGTTTCTGAAGCAAGGGGATTCCAGGAGTATGGATGACTCTGGAGTCTCAAAGAGGCTATTTGTCTCACCAGGTCTTGGTATTCCTGGTTTTTTGCAACATATTTTCATGTTTTCCTCTGTTCTGATTTTCTGGATCTTACTTCATCTGGATCAGTGAAAATTCCAAACAGATCCTTATTAGAGTTATTGTTGGCTTTTCATCTATCTAAAGAAAGGTGCAGTGATAATTTGATTAATAAATTCTTTGGAAATGAAGCTCAATTTATGACAAAAAGTTGGCTGTGTTAATTAAACTTTATAAACAATTCAAGACAGGCTGTATGGAACAGTGACAGAATACATGGAATCTTGGGGGAGGGGGAAACCTTTATGGTAAGTTTTGCTGATAAATATCTCAAAGTGGTAAGAATAAGAGTCATTCCTCAATTGCCAAATGTTCAAGGGATATGAACGGGCAGTTTTGGAAAGTAGAAATCTAAACTATCAACAGCCATATGTGAAAAAATTCCAAATCACTAGGCATTTGAGAAATGTAAATTAAAGCAATTCTGAGGTTCTACCTCTTACCCATCAGATTGGCAAAGTTGATAAAGAAGGAAAATGACAACTACTGGAGGAGCTACAGAAAAGCAGGCACATTAATGCACTCTTAGTGGAGTTATGAATTAGATAGCCATTTGAGAAAGCAATTAGTAACTATGCCCCAAAAATTACTATATTGGATATATATTGGATTAACCCAAGGATAACACTACTGGGTTCATATCCAAAAGAAATGAAAGAAAGAGAGAAACCCAGGTTTGCTACTAAGAGTCAAGCTTCTTGAAGGTGGGGCATAGTTTTATTCATCTTTGTATCTCTGGCGCTCAGCCTAGGGCCTTTACCTATTAGGTACCTACTAAGTGTTGATTGAATGGAAATAGAATAAAATAGTAATCTATATTAAAAAAAAAAAAGAACAAGAAAGGAGGAAAAAACCCATATGTATACATGGTAACTAAGGGAGGTGCCTATCCACTGGAGAATAACTGAACAAATTATGATATATAAATGTAATGGAATACTCTTGTACTATTAAAAAAAAAATTGTGTAAAGGACAATATCAGAGAAACCCTGGGAAGACTTATATGAATCAATGCAGTGAAATGAGCAGAACCAGGAAGACAATTTATACAGTAACAACAACACTGTAAAAACAAACAACATTAAAAACTTAAGAATTCTGATCCAGTGGAACTACCAATCATAATTCCAGAGAACTGATGATGAAGCATGCTTCCTACTTCTTGACAGAGAGAGGGTGCAGAATTACTGAGGGTATAGAATGAGACATATTTTTTGCACATATTCAGTGTTGGAAATTATTTTGTTTGACTATGTGTATTTGTTAAAAAGGGTTTGTTTTTTTTTTCTTTTTCAACATTGAAGGTAGGTAGAAAGAAGAGAAAATTCATTTTTGCTAATTTAAATAAGTTAATTTAGAAACGTGGAAGCATAAAATAGAGAAAAGACTCCTGAATTTGGAAATCTAGATCTGTGGGTTCTGTTCTTGGTTCTAACATTAATCACATTTTTGACCCTGAGCAGGTAATGTATATTCTCTGGGCTTCAGTTTTACAATGTGTAAAATTAGAGGATCTCTGAAGTTCCTTTGAACTCTAAATTTTTTAAATTTTTAATATTATGGCAGAGCCAGGAATAAAACCCTTTCCTTCTGTGTACACTTAGAAATATGTACTTAATATACTAGAAAAAAAATCTGTGAAATGAAAGGGGATATTCAGTGCCTAATTATTAATTAAAATAAATTTGAACTGAAGTCAGGCTTGTGAAATGCATTATTCTTATTAAATTGTCTTGTGCTAATGGATATTTTCTATCTTGTTTCTAGAAATTGAAAGATATAGTAAAAGATATCTGAAAAATTACAAAGAAGATGATTTGGAATGGATACCAGGTAAATATAAGATATGTAGCTAAAAGTTATTTTAAGTGTTTCTTGTCTCCTTTTACATAGAACAGATTTTCTATTTATTGAGAAATACAGAAAAATAACATTAGCATCTCTCTGTTATCTTTGGGCCTTAGAGATAAGAGCATTCTTCTCAAACTCAAAATTCTAAGTCTTCTCTTTTATAACCAGAGTTAGTAATATGCTGTTAGGGCTTCAGTAGTTCAATTCAAGAAAAAGTTATTGTGTGCCTAATATGTGCAGAACCTTTTGCTAAACACTAGAGATGGGCCTTGGTCCCTGCCTTGTCATGACCTGATATGTGAATATTCTAAGTCGAAGAGCTGGCATGAAAAGAGGCTCTTTCACATTTTGAAATACAGAAGAACTGGAAAACAGGGACAAGCTGTAACAACTAATTTACAGTTGTCAGCAAAAGACATTTCTTTTTGTAGGGACTATCACAGTCTCAAAAGCATTGTGTTTCCACGTTAATACCACTTTCCTATTTCACGTACACTTTTAACACTATTGTAAAATCAATAATGGTTTGCCCCTCTTTTTGAGAGAATTTATACTCTGAAAACTCTAGTTTTAAGATATGTTGTTATTTTTCCTACACTAGTCTCAACAGTTTATCTTTGTTTCCTTTAGCATACCTAATTTATTTTTGTTTGGGTACCTTTTCTAAAAGAATCTGCTTCAGTTGCTTCATAATCACAAGAGCCACAAGTTTTACCTTTGATATAGAATTAGAGCTGAATGAAACTTTTGAAGATCATCTAACCCAAAGGTTCTTAAACTTTTTTTGTGTGTCATGGACCCCCTTAGGAGTCTGGTGAAGCAGATGGACCCTTTCTCAGAGTAATGTTTTTAAATGTCTAAAAATAAAACACATAAGATTAGAAGAGAAATATTATTTTTCAAATCTTTAAAAAAGGTTGGTTCTTTTTTCCCCACCGACCCCAGGTTAGGAACCTCTAATCTAATTCACCTCTCACATTTTACAAACAGATGAGGAAATTGAGACCATGGTGGCTAATTGAATTAGTGGAAATACCAGGGCCAGTACCCAGGTCTCTTTTCTCTCAAGCTGGGGCTGTTTTCTCTGTACTGCCCATCTCATGTTTTAATCAATATTTTCAGTGTTTTCATGCACCTGACCTTTCAAAAGGGGCTTAAGAGAGCTTTACCTCTTTTATGTATTATAGTGTGCACATATTCGGTCAGTCAGCACTTATTGTTGATGAGGACATAAGTTCCCATGGAAACAGTCCCAAATGTCTCTTATTTTTTTTTTTTCTGCTTCATCTCTCGCTAGTCGTAAACCATTATCTCTTTATACTTTAGCTTGATTTTCTGTGAAACATTTTTTCTGCTAAATGTAAATATATTCAATGTAGAAACCATTAGCTAAGGAATGCCATGTGAACTTGAGATTTAAATATTTTCTGCCACAAATTTAATGAGCTTTCTTTGTGGGTTGGCAGTGTTTTTGGATGTGTTGTTTTAATGATGCTTCATTTTCATGCTTGGTACCATGTCTACACAGTTAAAGGAACATGGAAAATAGCAGTAGTTATAAGGGTGACTGAAGACAGAAGCTCCCTTTTTGACTGAAATAGTTTACTTTTCTCTCAACTATCTGGAATTTTGCTAGGATAATGTAGAGAACTGTCAATTCCTTATTGTCCTTCAGCAGCAGTGTGGTTATCCTGAGACTTAATGTTTTGAATTAATTTATAGTATAGTCTACAGTTATCTGAACAGAGCCCTTGACCCTCTTGCATCTCTGCCAGAGAAAATATTGGTCAGGATTATACATTGAACCCAGAGGCTACGTCTCTCCAATCAGAGTCATTGGTAACATTCCTATATCTGTCTTTCTCTCTCTCCTCGCCCCAGATTGGAGAAGACTTCCAAGAGAGATGATGCCAAGGAAAAAGTTGACAAAAGGTAGGATATAATTAAAAAGTTCAGTCTACAGTAGCCTTTCAGATATGGAAAGATTGTTAAATTACTACTTGATATGGGCTTCATCTCAGTTTTACACTTTTGCTTCAAAACTTCATTGTTCAATTTTTTTTTTTTCCAGCTTGGGGTATAGAATCTAGACCTGTGAGTTCATTGGTGTTCTGGGAACACTTGGTAGGAGCAACTCTTATCAATGCATTTCTTCAACCTGCAATCTGAAAGAGTTGCTTGAGCCATTAAGAGATTAAGTGACCTATACAACCAGCTTGTGTAAGAAGCAAGACTTGAACCCAGGTCTTCCTGATTCATAGATCAGCTTTCTATTCATTACTCCATACTTACCTGTCTTGTGCAGATGGTACTTTATGAAACTTAGTGGCCTAAGGCTTCTTTAAGTTTCTGTGGTTTCTTGATGTGCTAGCAATGGCTTTTCAATTTTGTATATAAGTCAGAAGTATTTCATTAAGATATTTAGTTAAGTTTAGGAAACAGTTAGTTAGAGCTTTAATATTATGCATAACAATATCTGATATTTATGTAGTGCTTCAAAATTTATAAAGCATTTTACATAAATGACCTCATTTGATCCTTGAAGAAATTTGGTGAAGTTGTTGACACAGGTTTTAGCAGCCCTATTATGTAGATAAGGAAACAAGGTTTAGAAAGGTGAGGAGACTTGCCCAGGGCCACACAGCCAAGAATGGCTGGAGGAGGTGCATTTGTACAGAGGCGTTTCTGATTCCAGGGCCAATGTTCTTGCTGTTCCATCATGTTGCCACATTTTAAAAAGCCAGGACAGTTTGCTAGGTCTTGTATTTACAGTGAATCTCTTTTTAGTAGGCAGCCAGGTGGCACAGCACAGGTCCTGGAATTAGGAAGATCTGACTTCAAATCTGTCCTCAGACACTTAACTGGCTGTGTGACCCTGAGCAAGTCACTGAACCCTGTTTGCTTCAGTTTCTTCATCTGTAAAAAAACTGAACTGGAGAAGAAAATGGCAAACTACCATTATCTTTGCCAAGAAAACCCCAAAGAGGGTCATAAAGAGTTGGGTATGAACTGAAAAGCAACTCTTTTGTAGTAATAGTAGGCTTCGAGAGATTGAGAAGGACTTTTATTTGGGGGTGTGGGGAGAGCCTGCAACATTTTTGTGTACATCATCAAGGTCTCAGAATCTCTCACATAATAATATAGCTGCTAGAACAGCTTTACCTGGCCTTCTCAAGGCCTTTTCTGCCCTTATGATATGAAAGTATGGATTATTGTAAGAAATTCTTTTAGCTTAGATAATTGATAAGGAAGAATAATTAGGAAATTATTTAATTAGAATATGGTTTTCCCTTCTGTTTTTTAGTCTTAAGTGATGCTCAGTTATTGTCCTTTTCAATAAAATAATAAACAGTAATGGGATTTACATACTTACCACTTTTTCTCCCCTGCATAAGATATCATTGGATATGTTTTATAAACATGATATCAATTACTTTATTAATATACAACCTTTTAAAAAGGCAATGCATATTGCTATTATCTGTGGAAAATTTCTTGAAGAAAAAAACTGTCTTAAAAAAGTATTGTACTATTTTATTTCATAGGATTCATCTATCAGACTATTTAAATGGTCAAGGTTTTTTTTATTTTAAATATGAAAATTTCAAAGAACCGTTAATTCCCAGAATTGGAAGAGTCATCTAATTCAACTCATAATTTATCATGAAACCTCTCTCTAAAAAAAAGTTTTATTGTATCTTTTTGTTTCACATCAGAGTTATTTTCAGCCATTATCCTCCCCCCACCCTTCCCCTCTCACAATGAACTGTCCCAAAAAAAGACTCCTAAGTTTGGGAAGTGTTCCATACTCATAGCTCCTTACTTGTCTAATTATCTGGTGGGTCTTTTTGTGTGTATTCTTTTTGCCTTTATTTGTCTTCCTGGCACTTGGTACTATCTGACATATAGTAAGCATTTCATAAATGGTATTGACTGACGGACTGTTTTTCAAGACCAAGATTAGTCATTACAATTACTCAGAGCTTGGCTTCCTTTTCATGTTCTTTTCATTTCTGTTATTGTTCTTATTATATATGCTTATGTATTAGTTTATGCGAGTATTCCCATGTTTTTTTTTTCTGAATTATTCCTAGTTGTTGCTTCTTATGGCTCAATAATATTCTCTTTTATTTTTGTACTACAATTTGTTCAGCCATTTACTAATTGAGGGGCACAAACCACAGAGAATAAGTGCTAAATTAAATAAGAAGGCAGTGCTGGAAAATGCAGCACAAAAGAGGTTAATGGAAGACAATTTTTTTCTCTTTTTAAAAATTTGTTATTTCTTTATTTTTAGCATTTTGAAAAAAATTTTGAGCTGCAAATTCTCTTCTTCCCTCCCACCCCTCCTGTACTCACCTAGAAGGCAAGCAGTATGATCAATTATACATGTGAAATCATGCAAAACGTATTTCTGTATTAGCCATATCACAAAAAAGCAAGAAAAATAAAGTGAGAAAATTATACTTCAGTTTTCACTCAAGAGTTCATCAGTTCCCAATAAAGATAGAATGAGATGAATGGATAATAAAACCTAACAGTTTATTGCATATGAGAAATACACTTAAGATATAGAGTGAAATTATGGGGCTGGAATTTAGAATCATGCCCCCTGTGACTAAAATGTTTAGACGCTTTATCACAGAGGTCCCATGGCTAGGCATCTAAACCAAAATGAAGTCAAAAACAAAAAGGACCTATATACACCAGAATACTCATAGCAGCATACCATTTTTGTGGTAGCAAAGAATGTAAAACAAAGAAGATGACCATTGGCTGGGAAATAACTAAACAAACTAATATAGAGTAATGCAATGTTACTCTGCTATAAAAAATGAATATGAAGAATTCAGAGAAGCATGTGAGGGCTTATTTGAACTGATGCAAAGTGAACTAAGCAGAACCAAGAAAACCCTATACGCAGTGACTGTGACAATGTGAGTTGAATAATCAGCCAATCAATAATAGTTTTTTTAGGTACCTACCATGTGCCAAGCACCATGTAAGGTATAGGCGAAGAGGGAGATACAAAGACAAAAATGAAATAGTCCCTGCCTTCAAAGAGCATACATTTTATTGGGAGAGATATCATGAACATTAATAAGAATGTAGAAAATAAATGCAATATTTTTTGTGTGCGTATGTGGGGGTGTACCTGGGGAGCTGATGGAGAATCTGGAGAGGCTTCATACAGGGTTTGCTTCAGCAGAGTGATGAAGGAAATGAGGAATTCCAAATGGTAAGGTGAGGTGAGAGTGCATAGGCAGATGGAGATGAACAATAACATTAAACTGAATGTTGTGTATGTAGTTATAATGACCGAGCTTGACATTGAAGAAAAGTTAAAAAACATACCTCATCCTCTCTTTGTGGAGGTGGGAAACTGTGTGAGGACTGATGCATGTACTGCCAGATGTGTGATGTGTTTGGTTTAACTGGACCTCTCCTTTTCCACTTTCTTTTTCATTCTTTGTTACATTTCAGTGGATAGGGGAGGGAGGAGAGTATTCAAAAATGAAGGAAATATTAAACCTAGATTATACCAATTTAAAATTTTTAATAGTCCACAAAAAAAAAGAGAAAGGCAAATTAACCTGTTGGTTAATTAACCTGTGTCCTCTTGTATTGCAGTAGATATGCTAAGACACTCCTGAGCTGCTCCTTCTTGCATAGATTTCTTTTTTCTTTCTTTTTTTAAAAATTTATTTATTTTTAGTTTTCAACATTCACTTCCACAAGATTTTGAGTTCCAAATTTTCTCCCCATCCCTCCCCTCCCCTCATCCGAAGATGGCATGCATTCTGATTACCCCATTCCCCAATCTGCCTTCTCTTCTATCACCCCCCTCCCCCTTTTCTTATCCCCTTCCCCTTTTATTTTCCTATAGGGTAAGATAGATTTCTGTACATGTAAAAACAAATTTTTTTTAAGGCAATTGGGGTTAAGTGAGTTGCCCAGGGTCACACAGCTAGTAAGTGTCAAGTGTTTGGTCTGAGGTCGTATTTGAACTGAGGTCCTCCTGACTTCAGGGCCAGTGCTGTGTCCACTGTGCCACCTAGTTGCCCCCTAAAAACATTTTTTTAGCATTCATTTTTAAAACTTTGAGTTCCAAATTCTCTCTCCTCCTCCTCTTTCCCTACCCACCCTCATTGAGAAGGCAAGCAATTCAATATAGGTTATACATGTGTAGTTATGCACAACACTTCCATTATAGTCCTGTTGTGAAAGATTATTTTTCCCTCCATCCTATCCTGCCTTCCACTTATTTTATTCTTTCCTTTGACCTGTCCCTCCTCAAAAGTGTTTGTTTCTGATTACCCACTCCCTCAATCTGTCCTCCCTTCATCAACCCCCCCTGCCCCAATCCCCTTCCCCACTACTTTCCTGTAGGGTAAGATAGATTTCCATACCCAATTGAGTGTGTATGTTATTCCGTCCTTAAGCCAAATTCAATGAGAGTAAGGGTTCACTCATTTCCTCTCACCTCCCCCTTCTTCCCCTCCATGGTGAAAGCTTTCTCTTGCCTCTTTTATATGAGATAATTTACTCCTTTCTACCTCTCCCTCCCAGTACATTCCTCTCTCAATCCTTAATTTGATTTTTAGATGTCATTCTTTCATATTCAACTCACCCTGTGCCCTCTGTCTATACATATTCCCTCCAACTATCCTAATATTGGCAAAGGTCTCATGAGTTACAAATGTCATCTTTCCGTGTAGGGATGTAAACAGTTCAACTTTAATAAGTCCCTTATGATTTCTCTTTCTTGTTTACCTTTTCATGCTTCTCTTGAGTCTTGTATTGTAAAGTCAGTTTTTCTATTTAGCTCTGGTTTTTTCTCAAGATTGCATTAAATTCCTCTACATGAATGAAAGTAAAATTTTCCCCCTCATTGATTATACTCCGTTTTGCTGGGTAGGTGATTCTTGGTT